AGATCGATTTTGAGACCGATAGTGAGGTCGAGAGGTGTCCCGGGGTGTTCTGTGGTGGCCCGTGGTGTCCCGTGGTTTCTCGTTGAGTGAGATCGATAGTGAGATCGATAGTGAGATCGACCAGTGTCCCGTGGTGTCCTGTGGTGTCCCGTTGAGTGAGATCGATAGTGAGATCGATTGAGTCAGATGCTGGTTCCCCCCCCTCCCCCCCACACAACCTGCTTATCGCCCGAAGGGTGGTTGTATGGGTACGCAGGGAATTCTATGCACGGTGGGGGCGTTCGTGAAGGAACGTGCCCAGGAGGCTTCAGACCCTGGAGGGTGCCTTATCTGATGAGGGCGGTGGTGATATCCATGGCCAGTCCTCGATTGGAGTTCCACCAGCATCCGGACCCTGGATTCATTATCGAAGGCTTCCGTATCCAATGCCATCACCGTATGGGAACCTTGTGCATCACCTGGCGTCGCTCACCAGGGTGTGTGCGCACCTCTCGGCCGATGGGCCCGGCTTGTCAGCCGAAGAAGTGCTCGGGCGCAGAGGGAACGACCATGCGGACAGAGCCGCCGGGGATGCTGCAGGCTCCACTTGCGTGCCTCGAGGCAAGAGCACGACGTGGTGGCCAGGCTGGTCGTACATCGAAGACGGTGTGCAGGCGAGCGGCCAAGCTGTTGCCAAAGTGGCAGCGTGTCGACATGTCTGGGGTCGGCATGGTGCCCTCTCCGCCCGCCCCGAGAGATGCCCCTTCGACAGCACGAATGGCGATGTTTCGGTAGTGCGTGGCGTTGCACTGTTTGTCGCCTTGGGTCCTGGTGCGCAGTGAAACCTGGTCCTGGGAGATGTTCAAGACCATGTCAGCACGACATGGACTCGGCCGAAAGTGGCGGGCACAAGCCTGCCCTCTTTCATGTTTCTGATGGGTCCGATTGTTTTCTGTGTGTTGCGATGCGGTTCCTTTTGGCAGCAGGGAGTGATGGTGAAAAGCAAGTTTGCTCACAAATGCCACGGGCTGCTCAGCCGACACGGTCGGACAAGCCTCAATACGACCATTGCAGGTCAGCATCTGAGGCGCCAGGCCTTGAAGATCGTTGACTGTCCTGTTGTGCCGTCCTTCGCTCCAGGCCTCGACCTTGGTGCCCTTTTGGAGGCCAGTGCGTCTCCTCCTCCTCCTCCTCCTCCTCCTCCCTCTTCCTCTTCCTCCTCCTCCTCCTCATCCTTCTCATCGCCCCCAAATCGCGCAGCGATTTGGGGGGCAGGGAACTCTTTAGGGAGGTTACTCGTGGCCTCTCCGCTTCTGGGCCTCTCGGCCTCAATGCCCGGCAGTACCTCGGTGGCCGGCGGATCGCTGGGCGTGCTCCGTGCTCACGAGCTGGGGCCGCGCGCGGCCGGCGGACCTCGGCGTGGGGATGCCGCGTCGTCTGCTCTCCTCCCTCCCTCGGCTGTTGGTTGGCGGTTGGCGCGTGGGGCCGACGGCAATCGTGCTTCGCGGCGCTTCCTCGGGAGGCCGTGCGTGGCGCGGGGCGCGGCGGCGGCGATACCTGCGCCTCACTGCTCGTCGGCGGCGGGCTTCTGTGGCTCGTGGCCCGCAGGGCGGGCGTGCCCGGTCGATGAAGGAGGTCGGGCGTTGTCGCCCCTCGGGGGCCGGCGAGGCTCGTGTCGGCCGCGCCGCGCGTGCGGTCGTCGGCGGCGGGCTTCCGCTTTCTCTGGCCCGCAGGACGGGCGTGCTCGTTCTCGCAACCCACCCTCGTTCGGGGGCGGAAAAGAGGGGGGTGCTGACTAGGGGGGGTGGATATCATGGCGTGGGCCATGATATTTCCCCAGATTTCATGGCGCCTCTTCTAATTTCAATACGTCCCCAGCCCACCCGCTGGGCCGCGCACATGCCGCCGGTCATGATTTGCACCCCCCCCCTCTTGGACACCCCCCTCTTGGCCGCTCCCGACTCGTGCCACCCTGGGTCTGCTGCGCAGTCGGTGCGGGCCGCCCGCGCGGGCCGCCACGCCCCTCGTGGCCCTCGCGTTAGGTCGGGCATGTCCCCTTACAGGCGGGCTTTGGACGAAAGTTAAAACATGCTCCAAACAGATTCCAAAATAGGATTAATACAAATTCAACTCTATGTTTTGACTGCCTGGCTGGGCCCTTGGAGTGTTCCAGTCGGGACCAGCCTGGCGGCGCCGTGCGCCTCCTCTGTTTTCACCGCGGGCGCGGGCTGGCGCCGGCCCGCTGCTGCTGTGCAGGCAGCACGCAAAGCTTTTCCTTCCTCCCCCTCTTTCTCATCATCATCCTTTTTCCTCCTCCTCCTCCTCCTCATCCTCATCCTCCTCCTCCTCATCCTCCTCGTTACGCAGAGGGATGACCCTGTCCTCACTCTGCGTAACTAGTGTGTCGACTGCGCTGCGGCTGGAAGCTGCGGCGTCGAGCGTGCCGCCCGCCTCTCCCAGTGGTGCTGGTGGCTCGGAATCGGGTTATGATGGATTACACTTCCGTGGCAGAGGACATTATGTTTTATACCTCCTCGGCCATGTTTCGGGCTTTGAGGCTCTGGGCAGTCGCTCAGAGTCCAGAGGCAGTCCCGCA